CGCACGGGGAGACCTGCCACTGCAAGCTTGACCTGTGACCCCAATTACGTACAGTTTTATGGGCTTCTGCTTGCTGATTACGGTGCCATGACTAGGGGGGCCGGAATTCCTACTCAACTGCACAGGAAGTTGGATTCACAGGGACAGTTAAAGGATGGTTGTCTTTAAGAGGTTCTTCTGCCTGAATGGAGGGTAGTTGGAGGGGGCAGGGTGTTTCCGACTTGCAGCCCCCTTGTTTGGGTACTTGAGCCCTTCGGGTTCTCCAAAAATCTGACCATGGCGCCCTGAACTGCCCTGGAAACCATCTCTACAGGTCTATCCTGGATGTGGTCCAAAACGCGGGCTCTTCTTTGCAGATGCTTTGGGTGCCTAGTAAGTGCTTTATGGAACCACTGCAAAATTCTACGTTTCAGGGATGGTAGAGTTATACGTATGTGTTGATAACAGAGCTCAGGCCACAATAGCGTTGTTGGCAGCGCGACTTATGGGTAAATGTTAGCAGTGGCTAGTCTTGACTGAGTAGGAACCTCTGTCCTGATCGTAATTCGGTGTAATGTTGACTTCATATTAATTCAAATCCCAGAACGTAATTACACACCACCCGTAATTGCAAAGAATCAATGTGCCCAAACGCAAAAATTTGGAAGCGCCGAATGAGCAATGTGTACTACTGGCTAGTACTCGTATTGGCTACGACGACTGGAGCTCGAGCGCATAGACCCGGATACCCTGAATTACGGAGGCTTGGGCCCACATCCTCAGGAGGATGGGGGGTGGGGGAAGAGGGGTCCCTTATTCTGAAGTGAACATTATTGGGGATTTAGCATGACCTTGCATGTCATCTCCGCGAACATGATAGACCTCATTTTCCAACTCGTTTGCAATCACCTCGCTGAACCCAGTATTTTTTTCGAGGGCTCCAGTTACCTAAATAATGGGACTGGGGTTCTATATACCCTATAGTTACATAGCCCAGTAACCTAATATTCAGGTAACTGGGAGCCCTGGGGTTCACTACAAACCCCAGTATAAGTATTTGTTTCTGCACGAGGAGCCAGAAGTATTATGCGCAGCTGGAGGGGCTGGCGACCCCAGAGAGGCGAGACTCACCGGGCCAAAATTACTAGGGTTCAGGGATTAGGGTCCTACTAATTACCAACATACGGCCAGGGTTTTTCTCCTCCTGGGTTTTTCCCTGGCTTGTATATATGCGGTTTTTTGTACTCTGTGTGCGCAAGTAATGTAACGCATCAGGCAGAAAAAATACATACAAAAATACCAACATCATAGGGGTATGTATGGGCTATAGGGATATGGATGGATTATACGGATGTATAGGGTAGTAAAGGGTTTAGAGTTCAGGTGGCCCAAGAAACTGCCATTATTGCAGTACCAATGGAGGATCACATGGAAAACTAGCACACTGAATGGAAACTGCATGGGCAACTCCGAAAAGACCTCACGAACATATGACAGCTATTCAGGCCCCTACAGTACCAATTCACTTTAAGATCAAGTGGCTCTGATTGAGTTCTCTACAGAGTACACAAGGAACTAATCGTGTTGAGGCTTATGGGTCAGTAGCCAATGTTTGGCTGCTTTGGAATTTGGTACTAGGATTTGTAGTACAGGGTTTGGGGAGGTAAGTGATGATTCATTTGTTGGACCCTTGTGGCCATTTCTGGATGTGAGGATTGAGGGCAGCGTTGTGGAGAAAACTTGTGAGATAGCTTCTCGAAGCATCAGCATGCGCGTTTTATGCTCGTGCTGGGCACGAGGTATTCTGACTCTAAACCCCTAAGGGTCCAAGTACCTAATAATCGTATACTTACCCAAAGCCTGTACTATAATTACTATTGCCCAAAACGCAAGTTCTTAATTATTGGGTACTTGGACCCTTAGGGAACCCTTATCCCTAAACTGCTCTTGGCTGAGAAGCTGGCATTGGACGAGCTTGAATTGGGTTGTTCTGAAAATCAAGGGCCCCTTTTGGTTATAGATGATATCACGGCACCTCATATTTAGGGTACCAAAATGGAACCCTATTTTGGGGCACTACCCAATTAGTGCCTTATCCTATTGAGCGGAGGCTTTTCAAGCTGATGGAGGAGGGCCTGGTGCCTGTGTATCGGGTCAATATGTTTCGATGCAAAGATGGCAGCACCAAGGACCGGCAACGATTTAGGTTTAGTCGCTACGGAAAGGTGTTTCTAGGAAGCGTTGCCCACTATGAAGGCCCAAAATGAGGGCTAGACATCTGGGTTTAATCATGGGGCTTAGGACGGTGACCCCTAGACACCTGACGGAAGCCTGCTTGACGAAGGAAACTCCTGACCCTCCACCATCCTCCCCGGCCGACGTCCAGCGCCTTTTCGGGGAAGGCGGTTTAGGGCTTAGGGTTTAGGGTTTGTGTGTTTCTATACCTGGGGAATTTATTTTTTGAATGTCTACATTGGGCCTCAAAGTCCATAAATCGTACCTATTTTGGGCTATTTGGGTCCGTAGAGTATGTTGATTTTTTTGGGCTATTTGGGTCCGTAGAGTATGTTGAGTGGGACGGTTCTGAGACGTGCAAACTGTGGGGGTCTCTGCTTCGGATTGCAAAAGGAAGCTGTACTCATATGAGGGGTTCCTAAGTTCAGAGGTATTTTTTGGGGTCCTATAACAAAGATCATAGTATTGTTGGGTCTATATTTTTGTCCTGCTATTTTGGTACGTGGTGAATATATAATACATATATACATATACATATATTCGAATTTCCCAGTATTCAGTGAGAGTTCGCGACTGTTCCTGGAGATTCACAAGTGTGCATAGAGTTCCCCCTTGAGTAGATAGAATATGGCTTTGGGTATATTAGAATAAGATCCCCATATACCATATTCTATCTACTTAGGGGGGACTATAGCCCTAAACCCTAAACCCTAGACCCTGTATTCTACCTACTTAAGGGGGACTATGAATTTTCGGCAAGTTTTGGTCTTGGTCTGTTGTCCCAGATTTGCATCTCCATGTCTGCCGTTACTCTTGCGCAACACTGCACAGCCACTTCGCCGATCTTTGGTCTCATCACCCCTAAACCCTATGCCCTAAACCCTAAACCGAAGGGAGTCCTTGCAGTTGCCACAAGTGCCTGCATTAACCTGATTCTAGTCCTTTGACCATGGTAGGGCTAGCCCAGACCCTTGATTAATAAACTTCCTCCCCTTGACAGGGACTATAATAGGGATCCTAATTTTAAGGCCCTTAAAAGGAGTGGTTATAGGAATCATGGCTCTACATTAGGTTGGAAACCAATTGTTGATGTTTATTGCTCTTATTCCCTGCATCACTCCTATAAAGCCATCAACAATGAGTTATACGGCCCCCACGCCTAACCTAGGTTGAAACTTTTTCTGTAGCTTTCATGTGAGTATCCATGTTATCTTTGTTCGATTCCCCATCATCCCTTATGTCCCTGAAGACAATACTACCATAAGTCCCTCCCCTTAGTACTCGGCATATTGGATGAGCAGGCTGGAGCATCCAGTGGTTGCAGCCGCAGCAGGACCTGATTATTATTATTACTATTACTTTTATGATTATTATTGTTATTATTATTATTATTACTATTACTATTACTATTATTATTACTATTATTACTATTACTATCATTACTATTACTATTATTATCACTATTACTATTATTATTATTACTATTACTGTTACTATTACTATTATGATTATTATTACTATTACTGTTACTATTACTATTATTATTACTATGGGATTGTTTGGTTGAGTGCACCGGGCATTCTTTCGGAGTGCAGGGGTTCACGTTCCTGTGCTGAACACTCCGTGGCCTCACCTTTACACCTCCCACCCTCAAACAAGTGAAAGAGGATGTACAAGAAGAGGGGCAGCTACTTGTTGCAGCTTTTTGCATCCGCCTTTTCTTTCGTCTTCCTTAGGCTGAAGCTGCCTTTAGCTCTTAAGCAGAACTGCTCACAGACCAGTGGGCGGTTCTTGCTAGCTTCCGTGGTTCTGCCATGCCGCCACCAGTGCCGACCCTGCTGTGCCGGCCTGAACTCCAGGTGTCTCTGGCAGAAAGGAGTTGGAAAAGCAGGGGTCCTTTTAAAAAGGCTTCCTCCAAATCCGAGGATGGTATTATGCGGGGCCCCTGATTTCGGTAAATCTCGAACAAGCCCCGATTCTTTAAGGGCGCCTACATACGATGCCTATGTATAATCCCTGTCAAGGCTGGGGGGCATTGTGAATCAGAAGCCTTTATGACTCGAACATGGTTGTACTTTTTCCTGAACCTTGAAGAAGCATATTCCCTTTCCCAAATATCAAACGCCCCAATCCTACTACATCAACACTTGGGGACATATTCGATGTCAGGGCCTGGGGGGTGTTTAACATTGCAATGAATGCATTAAGGCATCATCGCTTTCGATACCCTAAACCCTAAAAACCCATGCGGGAGGGGAAAACAAGCCCAACAATGACCCAGGTCGCAGACGTCACTGCAACGTTGATGTCATTGAGCATTTTTGCGTTTCAGCATTTTCGCGTGGAGTTCTTGTGGGCAAGATGACACCCTTATTGTATACAGGATGCTTATGCGAACCGGTTAGTAGCCTGGGATTGTTGGAAGTCTTGTATCAAGCTGCTCAGCCGAGGTAAAGAACACATTCATCGAAGGCCATCCAGATGACGACAGTGACTCAGAACCCAAGCAGCGGGCTCGCTGTGCTACTTGCCCAGAAGCGAGTCCAAGCCAAAACTCCGAAACGACAGCTCCCGGAGAGTCTCCAATTTCAGAAGCCCTAGACAGCACAATGACCTCCAGTTGCAGTTCGCGGCCGAGCGGCTCTTCGCCCCAGATGGAGGTCAAGGTGGATAAGACATTCTTCAAGTTTGTGGAGCCTGACACCTCAACCCCAAAAGATCATCGCAGTCGCAACTTGACGTGGGGGCCGACACGCACAGCCTCTTCAAGTGATGTGGGGGATGAGGGTGAGGACACGCCTCGTGGCGATCGGCCTGGAACCATGGAGCAGTGGCCGGAGTATCCCACAGCCAACCCAGCGGGGGCACCGAAGCAGACTGCACGAGTACCACAGACTTGCACACCAGTCGCACCAGTCCCGCACGGGCAGGGTGCGCCTTGCATTAACCTTTGCAATGCGCTTCCGTCGGTGCATCCAGCACACCCAGCTTTAGGCCCTCCAACTCCTGCCAGACTGGTGTACCCTCCCTACCCTGCCTATGCAATGGCCACTCCCTACGCACCTTCACCCCAGATTCCGCCGGCAATGCCATGGGTACCGATGGATCATCTCATGCAGGCTCAGCAGGCTGTGGCCTTGTCAGCAGCCGCAACTGCAGTCTCCTTGTGTTCGGCTTTGGCCGCTCCTGTGCTGCAGGCAATGCCTCCTACAATGCTTCCCTCGCCCATACTCTTACCACCTCAGCCCTGCATCCCTATCCCGATTATGCCCACGGCTCCGAAGCCAATGGAGGCTGCAGAGCAAGCCGAGGAGAGCCAGTTGGAGAAGAGGCATCGGTCTAGGAGGTCACGTCTTTGGGTACACATCTACTTGCGAATGCAGCTGGAGGGCTTCGACCTCGTGCCGCGCCTCATTGGCCGAAAAGGCTGCAACATGCGGAGGATTGCGGAGCAGACTAGCGCCAAAGCACCTCAGCAGCTCACAAGGGATCATTTGAGCTGTAGTCTAAACTCCTTAAAGGGGGTTATAAAGGGGATTATATAAGGGTATATTATAGGGCTTATTAAAGGGGATACTAGGAGTTTAGACTATAGCTCATTTTGCACCCTCAAGGTTCTCAGGGTTGCCTAGGTAAGCCTATGCACCTAAAAAAAGGCATGTGTGTGTGCCTAATGAATTATGGTAAGTTTGCTTCTTTTTTTTTTTTCTGAGGATCTCAGGTTACTCTGGGTGAGGCTGGGTAAGGGTCCAAGGTAGGGTTTGAGGGCCCAAAGACTATAAGATTGGTGGTATTTGGGCCCTGAACCCTATTATTTCGGTCCTTGGACCTTTGTATAGTCCCCATGTATCCCTACATATCTCGCTATAACCCCTTCAAAGGGACCAACTCCAAACATCTGAATGATTGAGGTACGCATTCGCGGCCAGGGCAGTGGCCATTTGGAAGCTGGGTTGCTGTTAAGAACCTCTAATTAATGTAGGGTTTATATGGGGGTTATACAAGGGTTATATGGGGGGTTGGGGTTAATTAAGTTACCATAACATGGGTACATAGCGCATACTCAGGTTCTTTGTTTGTTATGGTAACTTACTTGTATCTTGGTAGCAACTAAGGAGATTGATGGCAAGTACGAGGCTCCGACGCCACTCATGATTGCAGTGACAACTGACCACGCTGACCCTGACATGTTGCTTGGCCTGAGCTGGCATTGCCAAGGTCTTGCAGGCCGTGCAGGGTGAATTGGTTTAGGGTTTAGGTTTTAGGGTTTAGAGTTTTAGTAACCCTGACCGGACCTACTGTGGTCACGTGTTAGTCATGGGGCCCTACTTGGAAGGGTCAAGAATACAACAGTCTTCACAATACAGGAAGAAGCGCGTACAATGTGTTGTTGACAGCAGTCTGACCGCGTTCATTACGATTGGAAATGCGCTAACGGCATTCTAGGGTTTTGCACAAAGATATGTACAAGCACACTAATGGAGAATCAAATGGAAAATGGTTGTACTGGGCTTAGTGCTTCAAGCAGAGAAGTCGTGGGTCTGCTCATTCAGATTAGTAGCCGGGACCTTCTAAAAGCCCGTACTGATGGCCTTTCTACCAACTACTTGGGGTCAAAGTCCATTGTCATGTGTTTTAAGGAAGTCTTGATAAAAATCTAAGCACCTCAGGGGGGAAGTTCTGAACCCTAAACCCTAAACTACTCATGTTGAGACAGTGAACATTTCGAGGATGACCCGCATATACAGCTCGCGAGCGGTTCTAGCCTACCTGATCATTCCTATACGAGACATAATCTAAACTCCTTGAAGGGGGTTATTAAGGGGCTATATAGGGGCCTACTATAGGGATGATTAGATTATGGCTCATATGGTAGATGGTCGAACCACGGTCCGCTTTTGGGGTCTCTGGTATAATACGGCCCCGAATCGCTCGGCTGCCCAAAAAGGGACCACGATAACACCTCCCATGTATGCCTTTAGATCCCAGGAGGCGCCCCTGCTTTCAGAAGCACCCTGCCATAATAACCACCCCCCTGATGTTAAAACCCCTGGCGCCCTCAAATATTAGATATGCTCAAGATAAACATGATGTACCACACTGTGAATATTTCATATCAGGTTGCTTCAGGTACGTTTGCAGCAGCCTATCTTGTTGGAGAGCTGTTGTTCACAAGCTATGCGGAGACTTGTGGGGAGGGGGGGATTGGGGGGGGGATGGGTGTCATAGCAAGAAACACTTGAAAAGTATACCTGCAGGCCAGCATCTCCAAATTGTACTACTACTATTCAAGAACATCCACCGCTGCCCTACATGTCCAACTGCTAGTAACATTCTATAGCCCCAATGTCATGCAGACGCAGTGAAAAGTCATGGCAAGCACAATGGATATGGTAAACTTGGACATGAACGAAGAAGTAGTAAGAGGTAGAGATCTTGAGCAAGTGTGTCATGCAGTACCATCAGTATGTATTAGAGCGTGTACATTCCATGTCTTCCCACAGACGATGGCGCCCCAGTGTTCTTGCGGCAGTTCAAGTCTGGACGGCAGTATGCAGGGAGTGTATATGCTCTTTGCATCTCCTTGATGCTGCATGACGTACTTGCTCAAGATTTATGCTTCTTACAACTTTGTCTCTCATGTTCAAGTTTACCAAATTCACTGTGTTTGCCATGACTTTTCGCTACTTCTCCATGAGTCAAGCTGCATACTGCCCTATGTCTAGATTTGCGCCGCCGCGAAACACTGCGAGGGGTGTCACTCGCGTCTTCCAAATTCATTTTCGAAGATGCGGCGTGTACTCGCTTTTGATATGTTCATAATACTGCAAGACATGCCTGCTCAAGCTTTGCTCTTGCTTCAACTTTCTCTTTGATGCTCATATTTCTTGCACCTGACATGACTTTTGACTGCTTCTGCATCATGCTTTCACGCTACTTCGCCGCCGCCTGAACCAACATGTCGCGGTCCAAAGCTCCGCGAACGCAAAAACCTCCAGCAAACGTGCACGACGCGCCACAAACATCAGAGGGAGGGGGTTGTTATATTTTAAAGTTAATGTCCAATCCCGCCAGTACACTGACATGCGCTGACCTCTAGCCTAGGGTTTGGGTTTAGGTTTTTGAGGTTTCAGGGGGCACGGTTAGAAGTGGGGTTTCCCCTGCACCAGAATACCCTGGCGACCCTTTCTGAGGTTTAAGCAGGCCGTGCAGATGACGTTAACCGTGCTCAAGGCGGTGGAAGGCAGGGTTCCAGGTTGAAGGTTTATGGTGTAGTAGAAATACTGCGGTAGGAGCGGGGAATGACAGCGACAACCCTACATGACGTAGGTGCTAGATGCTATGCCGAAGTCATATGCTCATAGTTTGTTTCCTTGGTTCCCCGTAACTGGGGCATTATCGGAAATCACTTCTCGCATACGAGGAGCACGAGAACAAATTTGTGACCCCAACACGGATTGAGCTAGCACCTATTGAACTAGCTTACGTCAGGCTACGGCTCTTTTTCCTGTTCAACTCGGATTTTGCTCGGGGTTCCTCGACTTCCAAAATCAGAGGATTTAAATTGGGACACCAAACCCCAACAACACACCTAGCAGGGTCCTATTATAGTTACTGTCATATTTGTTGTTACCGCGTGGGGTCCCGATAAAACACATCACCATGGTGGAAGGATGCTTTCGGGTCTTCTGCTCTCAGAAAGGCATTGAGCACGCCGGGCCTTGCTACTGGGCATGGTTTAGGGTTATAGTCTCCCTTAAGTAGATAGAACATGGGCTTGCGGCTTGGGGTTTAAGGTTCAGGGTTTATAGGGTCCCTTGAAGTAGATAGAATATGGGGTATAGGGGGATGTTATTATACTAGATCCAAAGCCATATTCTATCTACCTAAGAAGGACTATAGGGTTTGGCGTGACTACGTTTTTATGTGTTTGCTTTGGGATTTGGGAGGCGTGGGTTTTGCCTGGCCTCCTTATGCAAGCGATGTAAACTCGAGCTGCCCAAGGCTACTGCGTGGGCATGTTGCAACCGAACGCTCAAGCAGCGCTGGGTTCACTGTTAGATAATGTGCCACTGAATTCGGAGCATGAGGAATCTCGCGTTGCACCCGTTACGGATGGCTGACCCATTCCAGTAGCCACAGCGCCAAGTTAAGAGTCTGGCCCTTGGCAGTTGGAGGTATGCATGGCTGATGTGAGTCATGGCCCTCGCGATACTCGCCATTCTTGGCTGCGACAGCTTTAATAATGCAATCTTGCCTTTTGTTGCGCTGCTTGCCAGTGACCTCAAATTATCCTTCTCTGCCACAGGGCCCTCCATGGTCCATGGTGCGGGTGCTCTCTCCCACTCTCTTAAGCGCTTCTTCGTCGGGTAGTTTTCGTATTGTGGTACCTTACAGTAGCACGGTCAGATAGCAGTGCGCCTTTAAAAGCAGCTCGCATATTGAGTCAGTCAAGATGAAAGAGCGCATGCACATCGACCCGTGGGGAACAGTTTTGCCAGGCACTGCACAGGTGATCTGCACGCTTTCGCCCCCATGCGCATCCCAAGGTGGAAGTTGTTTTGCCTAAGACTATAAAGTCCATGTAGAACATCTCAAAATATAGCAGAGTCCTTCACGCAGGAATCCCTACACAGGTGCCACGATTTTTTGCCACACTCACTCAAGTTTCCAGGATTCCGTAGTCGCGATGGACTGCATCCACCTCCAGGTGAGTTTTATTCGCCCATCACATCCAATGCATGCGAATTCGGAGGCAATGAATAGCCCAAGTCAGCACGGTCCAAAGTGCATGCTCTTCGGGACTGTCTGCTTGGGCCATTTCTGAATTCAAATTCCAGCTCTGGACTGCAACTGGCCGTCGTACCTGCTACAGCAACCAAGAGCGACAGCATACTGTAGTACAGCAGGAAAAGCACTTCGTAGTGCTGGCATCAGCTGCCGGCGTAGCAGTGCAATCAGCAGTGCCATCAGCAGCTGTACCAAGGGCAGTATGAGCAGTGCGGCCTCATTGTAGGCGCTAGTACTAACATAGGTTCTGGCGGTGCAGCAACAGCAGCAACAAAAGATGGTGATGGTGTTTGTGGTGGTGCTGGCGGTGGTGGCGGCACTGATAAGTTTGGAGTCAGTGCTTGTAGCACGTAGTACGTAGTGATAATTAACTGCACTGATCCTCTTGCTTTGTCCTGCGTTGTGCTGATAGCGACGAAAACCTTGCAGTACCCACAGCTCCGGCTTACTTGATTGCTACGGCCAATGCTGCGGTCAGTTTCGTTTTCGGCTGGCAGCATGAGTTGCATGCTTTCGATCATGTGTTCATGTCCGTTCCTTTGCTGACAATTCGGGCTTGAGCTAGACAATTTGTTCTCAGCAAATCAGATCAAAAGTTTCCTGTTTAATTCTAATTGCCAAGCGATCCTTTTGCTCATCAACTAGTTAACCCCGTCATCTAACCCGCTGCTGGTGGTACCCAGTCCGCTTGTTCTTGCCAAGGTGTTTGAAGCAGAGTCTGTTTCAGTGCGGGCGGGTTCGTAAAGATGGGCGAGAATAGCTGCACTTGTGCAATCCTGCCTGCGACCACAGAACTCAAGCTACGGGAGAGAGGAACCGGCATGGGCTCGTGATTAGAGAGCTGCCGGAACCAGCATCGCCAGAGAGGTCGCATCCAGAATGTAAGTTGCCATGATTCGGCCAGAAAGGACGATCAAGAGTATGATAATTCTAGAGCAGGTTGGAGCAGGTACTGTTGTTGATATAGGGCATATTTCAAAGAGTGTGGTATCATGTAGGTTGACCCTCCACCCTGTAATAGTGGTATTACTGAGTGGGGGGTCCACCTAAGGTTTCATGCATGAGATATGTGTTAATCTTCTCACCCTACATACCACCGCCATCTCCCGTGTATTGATGACCCGCCCTGATGTGGAACATATGCTTTTAGGTGGTCTTTGCGTAGGGAAGGGTGGCAGGAGGTGTCGTTAACCAAGGGTCTCTGAGCCCTGCTGTTGTACTCCTTTTCTTGCGGTTCTATATCGTGGGGATTCCGCCGTTGACTATGATGTGGTCTTCAGGGAGGGCCTTAGTTTTAGTACTGGTGGATATCTGGGGATCTTGTTATGGCTCAGTGGAATTCAATATTCTACCTACTTCAAGGGGAGCGGTTAGTAGATGCAGGCTAGCGACCTGTCTCGTGACGCCTTTTTTTGCCGACGACATAACAGCTTTGCATCGAGCCTAGGAAAAGGTTCGTCCAGGTATGTGTACATATATATATATGTGTGTGTGTGTGTTTGTTCATTCAGGGATTATGTAAGATGTATAGCGGATATATATATATATATACATATATCAACCTTTCTTAATATATATATATATACACATGTATCTCTCTCTCGGCAAATGTGGCAATTGTGGAGTCAGGGTTTAAGGTTCTAAGGGCTAAGGGTAGTCTACTAGCGCGTGGGGCTTTGAGCTTCTGGAAATACGGCTCCTCCCCTCGAGGTGGGGTTTCCGAAAGAGCTGATCTGTAGACCCTTAAGAACCTTGGGCTCCAAATAGCCCATGTGCTACTCTAATGATGGAGAATCAAATATAAAAGCAAATGGAAAATGAAATGGAAATTAGGAGCTTGTCGGGGTGTACAGGGATCCAAATAGCCCAAGGTATGTAATATGTACAGACTTTGGGGCCCAATGTAGGTCTTATTTGTATACTTGGATCCCCGGGGAAAGGCAAACACACCGAACTATGAGGTACCAAGCCCTTTTTGTAGCGGTACATTGGTTGCTCTAGGCAGGGTCCTGGATTTTTTGAGTACGTCCCGCGGTATATCGCGGCTGGCAATCAAGTCCAGGGCAGCAAGTCGCCCTGGTGCTCAGAAGGGGATACTGTTGATACTAAAAATCCTGCACGACCCCCAGGGCTCCAGTTACCCAAATAATGGGAACTGAACTCTGCATACCATATAGTTACATAGGCCAGTAACCTACTATTTAGGTAACTGGAGCCCTAGGGGGCCTTAGTATACTTTAGCATTAAAATTCCCAAGGTATGAGGTATTGGAACCCCCTGAAGATGTGATTAAAGCGAGGCTGACACTTCACCACAGGAGCACAGATGATGACTGTCTCTTGTGAAAAATAGCTGGTATAGTGCTGATTGATTACTAGAATGGACTGTGTTGATTTGTGGTAATTATTCAGAAAGAAATGCTATAGCTGTTGTATTTGGAGTTCTCGCGCTATTGGTATCCTAGATTCTTCTGTTGTTGCTATGACGGATTTGATGATTAGTCTTCACTGTCTTCATCATTATTCCTCCGGCTGCTACTACTACTACTACTACTGCTGCTACTACTACTGCTGCTACTACTACTACTACTACACTTGTACTGCTAGTTGTTATTGTTGCGATTCCGTTGTGCTTGTCACGTTTGTTAGTACCGCTCTTATCTTCAGCTTCGTCAGCACTACAAGAAAAAGTATTGACAAAGCTGTCATTGTCAGTATTGTTGTCTTTATTGTTATCAGCATGAATGTTACCCTGATAGCCTGTGGAACAGTCCTATCTAAGCTACCTCGAGTTCCTGCTAGAATTGTCGAGTAGCCGATTGAACTCTTGAAGGAGCATGATGCCCTAGCTTCGCTGGTCGTCGCATTGGAAACCGAATTTGGTTGTTTGGTCGGCGTTAATGCCTACCTCACGCCACCTGGGGTGCAAGGCAGGAAAGCAGTCCAGGTGAGATTCAAAGCACCCGCAGCCAGTATTAGTTCCTTGTCCTGCTTCTCATCGCTAGAGGCCTGGCACCTCACTGGGATGACGTGGAGGTCTTTGTCCTTCAGCCTCGCACTCATCCAGTTATGAGAGCGGTGGTTGTCAACTTCAGTGCGCAGATCTCATTGATGCCTGATGCCTTCATGTTGGCCTTTTTTGACCACTTTGCTTCATGAATTTCGGTCGCAGAAAAGAGCTTCGGGGAAACGAGAGTCGGTTACGCTGAAGCCCGCTCATGCTGCTGATGACCGTCCGAAGCATGGTGGCTTGTGGCCATCTCGGCATATTGAAGAAGCACCTGATGATGTTTGTTGTTGTGCTGATTCCGTGATGATTGCATCCGCGATGTAGCAACAGCAAAAGAAGCAGCTGCCAATCCTTGTGAAAGTTATACCCAAGCATCAGAATCCTTCATTCTAGAAACCCCCAAGAAGGGCCCGCAATCTTGTGCGACCCATAAACACCATTAAGTCTTAACCCCAAATCCTGTTTTTCCCTCTTGTAGCTCAGTATGACTGTTCGTGAAGTACTTGCATATATGAATATGTACATGCATGTAAATGTATATGCATATATGCCTTTGCAATGCATGACTTTGGAATGTTCCCGCTTGCAAAGGCTAAGCGGCAAAAAGGCATGGACGCTCCACTCCTCATCTACTGCTTCGCCCTCCCCAACGCTTCCGCGCCGCCTGGCAATGACCTGGATGATGAATGGCTCAGGGTTTGGAAGTATCTAGGCCTCATGGTTTATGAGGTTCAACCATCAATTTGCGTGTTTCCTTTTTGAGTTTCGCGTTCCCCTAGTCCTAGTAGTAGTAGTAGTAGTAGTAGTAGTAGTAGTAGAAGTAGTAGTAGTAGTAGTAGCAGCAGTAGCAGTAGCAGTAGCAGTAGCAGTAGTCGTAGTAGTAGCAGTGGTAGT